GCTATCAGATAGCTGAAACAATAGATATTTCTTAGGAAAATTCATTTCTAAATCCTTCCCTTTGAGGATTGCAGAAAAGCTATAGGGATCTAGGAAAGTCTCATCCCTACTGATCCCAAGGACCTGGTGTTTTGACCTTGTGAGCCCTGGATTGAGGACACCACTGGAAAACAAGATTTGATGTTTGGTGTAGAGCTGATAACGAATGGGGAGGACAGGACTAAGGTAAGAATGGGCACGAGATAGTTCTTCCCTGCAGTATTAGGAGGTTTCAAGCTAGGTATCTGGCTGCGGGTTGCAAGGCACAAAGCTTGAATTTTGCCATTCCAAGCAGGTGTGTGTGTGTGTGTGTGTGTGTGTGTGTGTGTGTGTGTGTGTGTGTGTGTGTGAGTGTGTGTGTGTGTGTGTGTGTGTGTGTGTGAGAGAGAGAGAGAGAGAGAGAGAGAGAGAGAAGGACCACAGGAGTTTTACCAAGCCTGGCTTATCACAAATTGTGCTGACTTGGTTTAGTATGTTCTATGATTCCTGATTCTAGCAGCCTAGGTAAAGCAGGGGCTGGAATGATAACTGCTTTGAGAGAGGCAACTTCCATTAGTCCTGCAGCAGGCCAAACAGGAACTGCTTATCAATAAAACATTCACACATCTCTAACACACCATCTCTAACTCACAGCATCAATAAATCATTAAAACAAATGAAATCATTTCTCTTAAAGCAGCAAGCAGACACGCCTCCCCCACTCCCCATGAGCTGCTAGAGCCTTTTGGGGAGACAAGGGGAAATGAATTCCAGTAACAAGCAAAGATGGGGCAGAGACAGGGAGCCAGACCTCCTGGCTTCAGTACTCCAGCATCTGAAAGGGGATGGGAAGGGTGAAGTGTCTCCATTATCTTCCAAACCTGCCCAACAGGTGGAAAAGAAACCTGTGAAATTTTAATCTCTACTGCCAGAGAAGCTCTTCCAGTTGAATTTCCTTATATCACACAGGAACCATCACAGGTAGAAATTCTGCAAGCTTAATTGCTGAGGTTTATAGTAAAGAGATGAGTGTAGAGAGTTTCTGCATTATTATCTAGAAGGCTTTTGCCCTTGGTCCAGAAGAAGGCAAACTTCAGGTGGTTATACATAAATGAAGAAAATATATGTGGCACCTGTTTAGGGCCCCTTTCTTTATTATTTTCTCCTTATTATTTTCACAGAGGTTTATACCAGGTTGAGGTATAAATATCTATTATTCAGTTATTAGCTATTACTATATAGCTGTTTCTCTTAACTGATTAAGAGTTGATCTGAGATATGGTGACTATCTGTAAATTGCTATTGAAATCAAGGCTAGCTACTGATTATGACATGTCACCTTGATTTCAAACTTCCTCTAGCTCTCATAGAGGTTTATACCAGGTTGAGGTTTGGTCTTGGAACATAAAAAGTCATGATAAGAAAAAGAGTGCCCTAAAGCATGTGCAGAGTGCCTGCTCCTCATTAGCAGGATCAGCTAGGTTTGCCGAGTGTCCTGGATTTTACCTTGATTGAACAGACAGGATTTTGCCAGTCTGTTTAATCAAGCTGCATTATAGGAAGTAAACCCCTTACTGGGCTTTGGAAAGTTTCAGCTTGGTTCTAGTCTTAAGTCACAGGTTCTGTTCCCACTTCTCTTTCTTTACCAAAAAGTTCTGCTGCTTCCTTCCTTGTTAAGCCTTGGCCCCTTATGATAACCCTGATGGACAGATCAGGCAAAGAAAGCCCAAGGTCATTTAGTAAGCTTCATGGGCAAGGGAAGATTCAAACCCAGGTCCCCTGAATCCCAAATCTAGGGTGCTAACCATGACATCCCACTGGTTCTCTTGTGAGGTCCAGATTCAGGTCCCAGTGACTGAGGTCCAGCCACTCTCACAGCTTGTCTTACCTCGCAGGAACAAAGTCATGCATGTCTTCTTGAGCTGCTTAGAGGAGAGGCAGGATATATGTCAAACAAAGAAGCAAATATGGGGAAAATAACACTTGCCAAACTTACAACATTGCTGAAAATCCAGGACTGAAAAGCTAGCAAATTCGAGCTTTTGGGAAAGACCAAACAGCAGTCCTTCACGAAGGCTGCACCCGAAGGCAACCACATTTTCCTGCGTGCTTTCCATGAGGATCTGAGTAGGGACGTGGTGGTAGACATCACGGGTGTGCACAGGCTGGCCAGTTTATAAGCTCCAGAGACTAATCCATCATCATTTTGATTCTCACCTCCACCGGGCAGGGCAGTGAGTTCTTTATTATGGGGACGCCGCCTTGTTTTTCCAAAGCTTTTGCCTAAGCAAATGTTTTGTAACATTGCAGAGGTTGGTCCTTTCCATGAGCTCAGTCGGAACTGAGGTGGCTGCCGGTGGTCGGCAGGCTGCCTTCTCCTGCCTACTTGTCCTGCCTGGAAAGGATAGACAAGGAGACAAAGTCCAGTCTCTCACTTGGGGGAACAGAGGAACTTGAAAATGTTACTTTGCCAGGCAGTGGCTCTTAGAATCTCCCATTTGGAACAGCCAGTAGAAAACTCAAAGCAGTAACTTCTTCGAGCTGTGCCAGACATCTTTGAGACGTCCAGGAGCAGACCATTCCCCGCAGGAGGATAATAGTTCTGCTCCATTGTCGTGCCCCAGCAACTGATATTTAGAACCACACTGCCTCTGATCCTGGAGGCAGCATAAACTGATTAGCAGCCATCATCGGATTTTGTTGCCATGAATCGCCCCATCCCCCTTTTAAAGCAGACCAAATTTTTGGCCACCTTGAAAGAGTGAATTCCAATTTTCACTACAGTGGTGCCTCGCTAGACAATTAGCTCGCAAAACGGTTAGTTTGCAAGACGATGAGTTTTTGCAATCGTTATAACACTTCGCAAAAAGGTTTTCCTTATGGGCAATTTTCGCTAGATGATGTATCGGTCTGCGCTTCGCAAAATGGTTTTTTAGGGACGTTTTTTCGCAACATAGCGATTTTGACAGCTGGGTCCGCGCTTCGCAAAACGGTTTTCCTATGGGCGATTTTTGCAAGACAATGATTTTTCCCTCATTGGAATACATTAAATAGATTTCAGTGCATTCCAAAGGGGAACTGCATTTCGCAAGAAGATGTTTTCCCAAGACAGCGATTTTCACAGAACAAATTAACATAGTCTTGCGAGGCACCACTGTATGCCCTATAGAATAAATGCTTCCCTTTGTCTGAGTTTCCTGCCATTCCCTTCAACAGATGACTCCAGATTCCACTATTACAAGGGGTGAAAGCCACGTTCTATCATGTATAATTTTCATACCTCTATAATTTTCCCTCTTAATTCCTTCAAATTATAAATTTCAGTTCCATGATCATTTTGGTTTTCCTCGCCACTGCATTTTCTGTAATATCCTTTGTCACATGTAGGAACATTGTGATCCAAACACAGTTATCTCCTAACCTTGTTTAAACTAAGCAAGCTTTCCCAGTGTGGTACCATCCAGATGTTTTGGACTAGAACTTCCAACAGGATGTCCAGTGGTCAGGAGTGCCGGGAGATTAGTTCATTATCCCAAGAGGGTATCTGGCTGATGAATGCTAGAGTAAAGACATTATGGCATTAGGTGTTTTCTTCCAGGTTCTGTTCATTCCTAATTGGCTGGCTGGATAGCTCAATAGTTTAGGTATCTGGCTGGGGGTTCAACTCCTCACTGTCCCTCTTGCAAGTAGAACCAACCTGTATGACCTTGGGCAAGTGGTAAAGTCCCAAGGCACTGCTAGAAGGGAATGGGAAACCACTTCTGAATATTCTCTACCTGGGAAACCCTGAAAAGGGTCACCATAACTATAAATTGACTTGCTGGCACATTATTATTCTTCATTTCCTTTTATACACCCCTTGGTGGCCAAGCCTGTCTCCATCTATTTATCTACCTGTCTTTTGTTGTCTCCCCACAGGAAAGACCATCATGTTGCTACTGAAACACATTTTGATTTCAAGGAGAGAATTCCGTCCTAGAATATGCAGAATAGAGTCCCCCACCAAACCCATGGAAAAGTGCTTCCAGCCAAACTTTTCTCATTGCCTGTGGGTTGCCAGCCTCATATGGAACTTGAGAAACCATCAAATTAAAGAAATCTTTGCTAGTTTCTTTTTTTTTTCCCAGTTGTTTGAACTGGAATGATTCCAGTTCACAGTATTGTTTTAAAGGTATTATTCTTAGCCATCCTAGTAACATGGCAAGAGTGGGGTGTATATAACTATATGGGTGCATTGTATTCCGTGGTGTGAGCTTCAAGCAGAGCACAGACTGACAGGGACAAGCTTATCCATGTCTACTCAGAGGTAAGGTTTATTGTTTTCAGTGCAGGTTACTCCCAGGAACGTGCCTATGGTTGAATATATTCTGAATGGTGAAAGCTCCCAGGTACAGTACATGCTTTACATTCAGAGTTTTTGGGTTCAGCCTGTTGTGGCTTTTCCAGGACCAAGCTCTACCATTAGGCAGAATGATGTAGCTGCCTCAGGCAGCAGAAGGAGAGCAGCACCCGAGAGCAGCAAATAGTTATTTGTTCTATTGCATTTCACTGGCCGGCGGGATTTTCTGGCTCCGGAGCTAAAACACCCCCAACTGCCTTTGGTTGCATTCCACACCCTTCATTAGGGGCACAGGTGGGTGGGTTGCCATGTGCTTGTTCTGGCTCAGGTGGCAAAATGTCTTGAACTGATCCTGAGTGGACATCAGCAGAATACCTGCCAAGTATGTCAAGCTACAGTTCCCATTGTTTTCAGTACCCAAGACAGCCACAATACTTCCAATATTCTTACCGCTGGGATGCAGAGCCATGCAGTGGGATCCTCTCCAAGAGCATCTCTATGTAATTTAGCAAAGGGTGGCCGCATGATTCACATTGCACGGGAAGGAGAGAGCAAGGGCGTCCAAACTCTGTAATGCGCGCGTTTACCTAGGAGCAAGCCCATGATAATTCATTGGGTTTACTTCCGAGTAGGACTGTACAGAATGGCGCTCAACAAAAGCTCGGATTCACTAGATCCTCCGCAATCGAGGTTTGTGTCAAGTCGGAACCGACTTACAGCGCCCCTGATAGGGCTTTCAAGGCAAGTGAAATGTTTAAATACAAGACTAGGGCGATGCCTTCATTGAACCACTACCCCCCCCAAAACACACACACACACACACACAAATTGCAAGTTTTCCTAATTCTTTGTGGAACTATGAAATATCGAAGGAATAGTTTTATCAGCGCCACCTCTCCCGCCCAACCTTCGGCAGTAAGTTTTCCTGGCCGAGCGAGGATTCGAACCCAGGTCTCCTGAATGCTCTTCCGTCACTTGATCCACTATCCCACACTGGTTGACCCTGCAATCGGCACCTTCCTTTTTTATGCCGCAACTCAAGTGTCCCTCCGCTCTGCTGCTTTTTTTGGGGGGGGGGAATTCTCCTGTCCAACCGCGGCTCTGCAGGGTCTTCTTTTGATTTTTACTCCCACACCCCACGCCCCGCTCCGCTCCCCGCTCGAAGGTCCCAACCCGGCGGCGTTGATTAGCTCTGGCTTCCCTCGAACTGGGTTTTCATGGTAACGCGGG